CCCCAAAACCCCAAAACCCCAAAACCCCAAAACCCCGTAGACTATTACTATCTAAATAAAATTTAAGAAAAATGGGCATTTTTAAGAAGAAATTCCTGCTTTTTACACTCTTGCTAAGCTCTGCATTGACTAATGGCTGGGTAAGTGCTTGCTTGATCAAACCTATTGCTCCCAGGGCTAAATTAAAGATCGACCATATGCATTGAGATACAAATAAGCACACTTTTTGACACTCTCAGTATTACGAATTTCATAATTTTAGTACACTATTACGTCATGATCGAAGTTGTTTTTCTAAAAAAAAGGAGCTAACCAGCCAAAGTGTTATCTAAAGTCATTGCCTTTACTACAAGCTACTTAGAATATACTGATTTAAGATTATCTAGGCTGATGAAGACAATGAATATGACTCCGTTAGGGAAGAAGAACCAACCACGCCATATGAGTGGGAATATTTTCCTCTCGAGTATCATCCATCAGTCACAGACTTCCAGAGTAAGTTCTGCTCCTGATTTTGTAGAAAATCTGGGTTTGCTTGATAAGTTCCCGAATATTGATGCTTGAGTACATGACCGAGTAGCTGGAGACCAGAGAAAATACTGGTACGCTCCTGCATTTATCGATATGGACTTAGCAGGATCTTATTTCTTTGTATTAATAGGAGCTCCTGCCTTACTAATACTTCTTCCACTTCTCTTCAAATGTATTCTGTCAGAGAGGATCCTGAGGACCATATCTGGAGAAAAGTATGACAGTGCATTTGCTGGAAGCCTTTATTTAGCTTGGTATTCTGCCATTTTGTTCTCTTTGGCAGCCACAATTTATCTTATCGCAGGAAGATTCAGAATAGAGATCGTGTGGTGATTCGACTCACCTCATACATACAGGGATCATCCGACATCGATGAAAACAGTCATTGACATCCCAGTTATGGTATGCAAAAATCTTTATGCGTAGGACTCAGAAGACATTCTAGATTACGGGCTAACTATTTCAGAAGGATTCATGAATACCGTCTACTCTCCAGCAGAATATGAGTCAAGGAGCGAAGTTGATAGATGAACGACTGAAAACATGGGCACCTTCACCAGGTACTAGATACATCTTATTAATAGATTGACTTGCACTTTTGAAGACATTGTCTCCTTTGAACAAGACGTGGTTGAACACTTGTACTTTAAATTTAATAAAGAGCAAGTGAATATGCAAGAATTTGGAAATGCAAAGATCATTATGCTAAATAAATTTGGCTATGATGGCATGGAAGATCCTGAAAAAAGAGAGCAGATGGTAAAACTTCTTACTAATTAATAGGTTTATTATGAAAGATATGAGATGCTAAAGGAAGGCATTGATATTCCCATGGACATGGCTTCTAAAATGAAAGTTAAGCTGATTCCAACACAGTATCAGAATAACATTAGGGACTTCCATTATACTGAAAATAAACAGCATTTAGTCTCTTTACGTCCTAACGTATCAGAGGATGAGGAGGAGGAGGAAGATGAACAGATTCATTTTGAGGTATTCTCATTTTTAATGCTATAGTTTGAATTCGATGTGGGTACGCAACATTTAGAAGAAAAAAGATTTTCTATGCAAATAAATTTCTCTAGCTTAATTTTATAACTCTTTGATAGACAAGAAAGTGATGAGATATGAATCCAGGAGTCTGTTAGTGTAAATTTGCTCTCTTTATACATCTAGGACGGTCACTCAGGCAATGAGCCTGCTCACAGGAATGATATTCGTTGGCTTCCTGTACATAGACTTGCTCAAGAAATGGAAGCTAGGGGAGTGGTAGTCACCATACAATATACAAGTGCATATTTGCTCGGGAATATTCAACATTAATAGAAATGATTGGGGTTTTGGGGTTTTGGGGTTTTGGGG